AGCCCCAGGGCGGCCAGCAGTAGAGTCAGAGACATCATTACGGTGCTGCCGGTGTGTCAGTGGCTCTGAAAGGGTGCGCCAGCCACTGATCAACACGGGCCTCTTAACGGCTGGGAGCACAGAGGCAGGACACATATGCAAACACACACAGGGGCTCAGCTGCAGCTGTTCTCAGCGTGTCGGCCTGTTTCCTCCTCTCTGTTGTGAACATTGCACCAGGTATTTACATGTGGATGATGTTGAAACGTCTGGTAGTAAACTGATCCAGTGGCTTTGGGAACGTTTTATTTCAAGCTCATCTTGGACAAAAATAAAACCAGTTCAAAACCAGGTCTATTCTATAGGGGTTCTGGAGCTTTTGATCAAAATCCATGGTCTTCTTCAGCAGATGTCATGTTTTTATGTCCTTTTAAACCAACATAGATTCCAAATAGAAAACTCCATCTGCTGAGGAAGATCATGACATATGAGTGAAAGCTTCACAGCAGCCACTTGGATGGAACGTTCAGTCTCCGTCTCTGTTTTGGGTTTGGACTTTCATGTCAGAGATGATGTGTTTCTTACATTTGCTTTGGTAGCTGACGTTAGAGTTTATGCAACTTCATGTAGATATAAAGATAAATGGTTATTGTCATTGTGTGAACACAACAACATTGTCACTGTATCACACGCAGTTATGTTGCACGGTTAATAATATATAAAAAGCATATATACACATGCATGTATGATAAACACAATAATAAAGAAAAATGAAAGCTAGTTTGTAAAGTGCACACATTTGTAAAAGTATGTGCAATGGTTGCATCAATCGGACAGTCTAACTATGTCATGTATGAAGTAATCTTACTGCTGTGGGGGAAAAGCTGTTCTTCATTCTATTGGTGTGTGTTTTATTGCTCGGTAGCGCCTTCCGGATGGTAGAAGCTGAAACAGATGATGTGCTGGGTGGGTATTGTCTTTTATGATGTTTTTAGCCCTGTTAATGGACAGGTTTGTGCCAACAATGCTCTGTGCTGTTTTCACAATGCGCTGGGGGGACGTTCTATCAGCTTGTGTGCAGCTGCTATGCCAGCCAGTCAAACAGTAAGTCAGAATACTCAGTGGTGGCTCTGTAAAAGTTCACAAGCAGTCTTTGGTGTAGATGTACTCTCCTGAGCTGTCTGAGGAAGTAAAGGTGTTGTTGTGGCTTTCCCACCACAGCTGAGATTCTCTGATGGTGACTCCCAGGAACTCAGTGCTGCTGACGATCTCCACTACCTCTGTGTTAAAGCAGACTGGAATGTGCACTGTAACAAATTGCTGTTAAAAACGGCCAAATTCCAACAGTAACGTATTGTTTTCCATTATAAATGTTATATACTGTTGAAAACAATGACTTCTGGGAAATATTTATGGGCAGCCCGCCCTTTCCTATAAAATACCGCAATATACTATAAATAGCGTTGCATTCTGGGAGTGATGTTAAAATCAACGGTAGAAAAGTGGCGCAAATACGGAAAGTTACTGTATTTCTCAAGGTTGCACACAGAACAGACTTGGAGCCAATTTTCATTTAGTGGATTTCCCATTTGATTCCTACATTTTTGAAGCAAATTCCAGGGTGAGGTGAATTACATTCCCTCTGTCTGCTGATGTTTTCTTACTAACATCATATTAGCTAGCTGATCGGTAACGTTAGCTAACAGCTCAGTAAGCTAGCTTGACGCACACACTATGCTGTGGCCAGCAAGTAACTCGACATTTACTTTTTCATTATTGTTTGGTAGGTACGCCTGATTAATGTTACTGAATATTTAAACGACATTAGTCTTATGGTTTCTTTGTTCAGCTAAAAGTATTATTGTGCATCTATTTTGGGGATTTCAGAATTTCTCCTCTCTCTTTTCTGTGAATTTTTATGTTAACACATTTCTGGTCTGCTTTAAGTAGACCTGTCTATGAGAGGGAAATTGTCCAGTGGTTTACTTTGGCTTAGTTGTAAATAGAAAAGAAAAAAAAGTTATAATTTCCTTGCATGTGTGTGTGTGTGTGCTCGCGCAGCCTAGAAAATAATAGTTACAGTGCTCTTCTGTCAAAGCCTTTTTTATCAGCATTGCTAATGAGTTGTGATAAGACACACTGAACTAAAACGTTTGTGTTTTTGAGTTAGCAGTTTTTTTTTGTTAGTGGTGGATTTGCCATCAAAATGTTCCCATGCCACTGTGCTAGTGAATGT